TATCGTGGCGAAGCGGAGAGACGTTTTTGGATTGGAAGAATAGCTTGTAAATTTACGATAAACTCATGAAAAATACTTCATACCCTTTACCAAGCTAAAGTTATCGAAATTAACGCAATAATTCAACGGCGAGGAATTTAGAAGATTGCACGTTGGACGTTGCAGAGAGAGAAATAATCGAGGATGAAGCGAGGAAAAGTGCTTAATAAAATATTAGGGGAAGGGGAAAATGATTCGTATTCGCATGAGTTAGAAAAGATGTGAGATTATAAATCGTAATAAAGAAGATAGAATTAATTTATTCCTTTTTTCTCTCTCGTTCGCGCGTATGATTAACCTTTTCATTCTTAAACACGAGTAATATCTTGTGGAGCAAAAATTAATTTCGTGTCATCCGATCATAGGATTTTCTCATTGAGGAAAAATTATATCCGGATCGTGATAAAGGATGATATATTTTCCTCGGGAAGAAATCATTTTTTAAAATCTTTTAACGTGAACTTTATATTTTCATTCTTCCTGGATTCCGTTTAATCTTTCGTTACGCGATAAATCAAAGTGGCGGGGAAAAAAAGAAATTTTTGGATATTTGGGAATAATTTATCGCAATATTATAGGAATTGGATTTCTTGGATTTCTTTTTTTTCTTGGATCGTTTTTTTCTGGATCGTTTGAGCTCATTTATCCCAGATGAAAATACACGAGTTGATACTTTACTTCAAGAATAATTATTGCTGTACCAAGAGAAATTAAAGTTTTTTAACATGGATCAAAATTAAATATTCAAATATTTTTGTTTTATGATTATTTTATCATTTACTATCTGTGGATTATAATAGGAATTATCAAATTCATTTATTGATATTATCCTTCATGATACATATTGGCCAAATTTTCATCATATTCTTTCAATAGTAGCAATTTTTGCTACTATTTCAAGATTTATTCATCGATACTCTTTTAATTACTAGTTCATTATTAAATGATTAAATTCCTTTGCCAAGAAATTTTTGTTATTCTCTCTGATGAAAGAGAAAGAAATTAACGAAGCTTGAAAATTTATATTTCGATTAATCAAAACGATTCACGTTCGAGATAAAAACAAAAAAACTTGAAGTAATCGCGATTTAATACGTTTTACATTTTAATAATCTTTCATATTTAGCGTACAACATCCGTAACAACGACCTGCCTCTTCAAAGAAGTGAAATATGAACGAAGCAAGATTTCGAAGATGTATTATACCTACCAGCTACGAGAAATATTAATTTCACGGCGGGTATTCACGGTGTATTCGATAAACTTGTTGGCGTTACTCGAGAATCTAAAATGGCGCATGGCTCAAAGGCAGATGTCCTCTTCCCTTCGAACGATCGTCTCTCTCTCTCTCTCTCTCTCTCTCTCTCTCTCTTTCTCGGAAATTGTTTAACGAGAGAAATCGAGACGCAGATTAGATTAAAGACAGTGGAGTCAATTTTCCTTGAGCCACGTTAAATATCGAGCGAAGGGATTATTTACATTTCATCTTCCCTCTTAAATGATCGAGAGGGGTCGGTCTTTTTCTGATTTTTCTTCCCAGAAAGATTTTCCTCATCCCAGGAAAAAAAAAAGATGAGTTTCGAGAGATTTTATTTCTTCTATACTATTTTTTTATAAAATATAAAAAAAATATAATTCAAATTAAGAGGGGAAGAATTTTTAAGAGAATATAGAAGAAAATTAGAAGAAAATAGATATTATTAAACATTTTTTTCGTATAATTATAACATTGATGATATATAAGTTTAATTTTCATAATATAATAGGAGAAAAATTTCCTTCGTAAACTTTTTCACGAAAATGATAAATACGAAAATTTAAAATGAAACGGGATGAAGAAACTGGAAATGTTTATTCCGCGCAGAAACTATTTTCTTTTGACTTTTAACGGCTTTTTATCAAAAAGGGGAAATATACGAATATATATATATAGAAACGCAAAAAAATTTCAAACAGGAAAAATTCAAACAAGCATCGCCCCCAGAAACGTGTTTCCCTCTATATATTTCGTTCTCGATTTTTTTTTAATTATAAGAGGAAGCTTCGAGTCAACAAATCTCTGGTTTGTTCCAACTTCTGGTCTCCCCCCCCCCCCCTCCTTTCTTTCGCGTATAAAATTTCCAACTATACCCTTCTGCTAATATTTAAAATTATTGGCTCGACTTCGATGAAATCGAGACACGAGGCATTTGATTCGAGCTCCTCCTCCACTCCTCCAAATGAAAAAGAAGACGCCAATCCAAGATGGATTTTCGAGAAACGAGAAATTCGTAGAACGATTATTCTCAGCCGAATAATCGAGGATGAAGGAAGGAAGGAACAACAAATATTCGCGTGAATCGAATTGTTTTCATAGGGATTTCTGCCAGCCATAAAATGGCGGATGGAGGATGAATGTCAGTTTGGGAATCAGACGTCTCGAAAAACGTTCGAGTTGGCCCTTTCAGCACTGGTAATTCATTTCGATGGTTGGAAAGGCGTGGTGAAATATTTTCGACAGAAATTTTTCGACGGATAACGTAACGTGAATTCTCGAAGATCGAAGTGAAATTCGCGAACGAAACGATTTGAAAAGAAAAATAATGAAGGCGAGGATGGGCGATGAGGATCGATGAGGATGGAACGAAGAATGAAGAATGATCGAGGAGAAGAAAAAAGAATACATTGTGAAATTTATGGAGAAATTTTATATATAAATTTTGGAACGGGTTTTATGAAATAAAATTTAATATCAAGGGATTGTAGGAAAGTATTGTGGAATCGTGTGTAATGTATTTATTATGAATGGTGCAGGATTAAAAGATATTTCGTTTTCAAATGGATAAATGATTAAATGGGAAGGTAGTTGGTATTATTTTTAATTCAGTTATTTAATCCAAGATTAATTTATATTTTTTAACCTCCTTTCGTTCATTTTTTATCTCGCTCGAATTAATTCCAAGTATGCGTCCCAGAAAGCTTGAATCTTTTTCTTCTTCTAATCTTTATACATTCTTTTTACGCGATAAAAAAGAATTTGAAAAAACTTTTGAGTAGAACGGATTTTATTTTCTTAGATTTGATTCAAATTTTCTTTCCTTTTTTCCACGAGGGAACGTAACAAAGATAAGATAAAGTTTATTGGATAATTTTCAACAAATTCTTGAATCAAGAAAAAAACCATAAAAGATAGAGAATATTCATCTTTATTTTTCACGAGGATGGTTTATTAAAAAAAATTTATCTCTGTTATAATAATTGAAAAAACAAATAATTGAATTTCTCGCTCATTAAAATTTCGAACAACACATTAATTCTAATTTAACTTTTAATAACATCTCGCATAAAATTTAGAAAACTTTAATATAATCTAATTCAAATTATTCTTCGTAAGGCAATCGCCCAATGTTAAATGAATATGTCTGACCAAAGAGTGATACATTCTACTGCCATGACTAGAATAAAAGAATATTCTATGTTTATTATTATATATATAAAACAAAGAAAGAAAATTAATAAAGTACAAAAATGCGAAATAATACAAATTACTTCTCGATTTAAATTATAATTCAATTGACTATAAAATTAACGCGATTAACTCTTTCGCGCTTGATTGCGCGTATGCACAACAATTTAACCCGTTATTGACTAATTAGGCGATAAATGTATGTAAAACTGCCCTTTTCTCGAGATATTTATATTAAAAAATAATATTTTACAAAAAATTAAGATAAAATTGCGAAGAATTTATCGAGAAAATTGTATCAAAAAATAAAGACACGTTGAATTAATAAACGAAAGAATTAAAATAATCCAAGCATCCTCCTATTCATCATTCATAAACATCAAACACACTTCTTTCTTTAATGTCCATCTATCGAGATAAACGATATATATCTTCCTCGATCGATTCCTCAACAAAAGAAGATCTCTTTCCCGTCTCGATCGACAATTTCTCGCGCTGTTCTCTTATTGTTTCCGTTACTCGTTTTTCCACTTCGTCTCTCCAAAGATCATCCAGAGAGGAGGAGAGAATCAGAGAATAAGGAGAGATAGAGAGAGCTATCAAGCTTTATCGAATCGTCGTTCGAGCCTCTGCCTTCTGGCTTTCTGCTTTTGCTTCGAAACTCGTGTGCGCTCGAAAGGAGGAGAAACCGTGCCAGAAATACACGTTTTCGCGGTAGCGAGAGAAAGAAAGAGGTGGCGAGAGGAAGACGGCGGAGAGGTAAAGCGAGATAAGCGAAAATAGAGTATCTATAGTTGTGACGTGGCTGCGACTTCCTCGAACCAGTTGCTCTCTCCCCCCCTCCACTTCCCCTTCCATCTCTCTCTCTTCACGCGAGCTTTCAGAGCCAACGAACGCGCGCGTGAAAGTCGTTTACACGTTAATCCCAGCTCGACAGTGTGCTCCCGATTCCCTCACTAGATTTTCGGATTTTCGTGTAATTGTATCCGTGGATCGAGGAAAGATTCTCTCGCCGAGAATCGAAGGAAGAAAATGGTTTCGAAAGTAGACGCTGTTGGAAAAGGGGAGAGGGAAGGAAGATTTTTCTTAATCACGAGTTGAATGTTTAATTTACGAAGATAACGATTAATTTGAGAGCACACTTCGCTAAGAGAATAGGTGAAAGGAAGGGTAAAGGAGAGGTGATTTTGTTAATTGTCTAACGTATCACTCGAACGAGAGAATCGCGAGAATAGATGAAGATTTTGTTAATCCTTTCTTAAATATCCAACGTGTGGAAATAATGATTAATTAATTTGAGAACAGATCGAGAGAATCATGAGATTGAAGAAGAATTCTTTCTTAAATGTTTAACATCTATCGAAATAATAATTTATTAATGAGTAAGATTCGAAATAATTAATTATTAATTTGAGACTCAAGAAAATCTGAAGAACGAATCTGAGAATAATGATTTATTTGGATGACGGGATAAGGTTTTTTGAATTTACTTCTTTTTTTATTAAAGTAAACTTACCTTTGCTGGTGAGACTGAAACTTCTAAGCCTGTAACTGTCCTCGTCCTCCCCCTCTTCCCTCGAGGGCATCTGAGACGAGGTGTCAGGAACGTCCAGAAACGCGTTGCTCTTCCTGTGATGGCTGTGATGCATACTTTGTCCTCTTCGACTCCCCCTTCTCCTGAGGCCGGGACTGATATCATTGTCGGTCAACCTGGGCTCGCTGCTACAATGAGCGGACTTGACCGTTCCTTCGTGATGGTGATGGTGATGGTGTGCAGCTGAAATTCGAACAAACAATATATACGTAACTATATGTATGTATATATCCTTCTATTCGAAATTGTAAAAATTTTTATCAAAATCTTATAATTGCACAAGAGTGTAATTTTATCAATTCTTCTTATTTATTATTAGTAGTTAGAATATTGTCTATAATTGATTTTTATAAAACTTTTATTTCCTTTTTTATTTCTTTCTTTCTTTCTTAAAAATAATCGGAATTAAAAAAAATAAAAAGAAAAAAGATCTCTAGGATAGATTTCTAATATTCTCGTTATCTACACATCTCTCCACTCTTCCTCTCTTGACCATACCCTGAACCGTACAAGCTTCACACGCGATGGCTTCCCTCTACTAACTTCTCGAGCGTGGATCCTTTGAAAATTTTCCACTCTTTACCTCCGCCACTGACCGCCTTTTCAAACCCTTTAAAGAATACTCGAAGGAAAAGTATGCCCACGAGTGGGACGAAATCTATCTCGATAAAATGATACGAAACGCGATATCAAGTCGTAACTATGAAAATGTCATAAATCAAATTACTCTTGTTTCACCTTCCCCTTTTTCTTTTTTCTCTTCTTTTTTTTTTTTTTTTTTTGCCCCCCGTAATCCAATCGAATTGAAACGATGAAAATCGATGAAGATCGATGGAGATTCGCATGCATTAAGATGTTTCGATTCGTAAAACAACGTATTTAGCGATCTTCTTCTTTTTAGTTTTTACTTTTATGCGAAAAATTTTCATGTTACTTCTTAAAGCAATGATATCATAATTGATAAAATTTTAATTCATATTCGCGTATGTGAGATAACGAAAACACAAAAAATTAATTAAAAACTAGAGACACATATAATATAAAAATTAGAGACACATATCTAAGTATAAAAATAAAAATCTTTTTATCCCGTTATTCGTAACGAGGAAAATAAAAGATCCGTCGTTTCTTCAAATTACGATCTCATCTCTTTCACTTTGAAAGTGAAACTTTCGCGAGTTCCTTTTGCGAAAATTTAATTTCCAGAGTGAAAATTATCATTGTGCTTGTAAAAAAGAGATTTTCGCTTTCTTTTGCGAGAGCGATATTTCGTTTCTTCGTTCTTAGAATGGCTTTCTATTCTGGGCGAGGAAAATCTTTTTTCGTTAATTTTCGACGAGGAAAAAGGAAGAGAAAAAATTAATAGGAAAAATTAATTCTTGTATCGAAATTGAAAATAATCGAGATGGAACGCGAAGCGTAAAAAGAGACAACGACGATGTTACATATCGCGTGAACGTCGAAATCACGCTTCGGCTTCTATTCTGGCATCTGGTCGGTTTGGATAGTGGGTCACTGACAGACGAAACGGGCCTCCGCGATGCCAGTGCACCTTAGAGGAAACGGCCGGCCCATTTAACACAAAAATACGATCTCGCGAAGGGTTTCGTGGGCTAAAAGAAGCTTATTCAACGGCATCGAACGCCGACACCGGTTCGTTCGCGCCAGAATTAGCCTTCAGCGTCTCCGTATCATCTATCTCTGATAGAATTAGAATTCTTAATTATCGTTATCGATCGAAATTTTCCTTCGTTCGAGCTGATTTTGAGCTAATTAATTATCCATTTATAGAGGGATATCATTGCGATAGTGATAGCAGTATCGAAGTTGCAATTGAATGAAATTATGAATAAGTAATGACACGTATAATGTTCATGTTCAGTGAGTAGGATTTTGCACGAGATAATATACACTTTGTTCTTTGTTCCTTCATTTATAATTTCCCTTTATATAGAATATATCTTCTGTCGAGAGAACACTGTGCAAAAGGTTAACTTAATATTCCAAATTTTTTTTATTCCTTGCCTAATTTCACGATTCGATTAAATATAGGAAATTATTTAATCGAACAACGAATATTTCGTTTAAAATTATAACCAAAATATATATATAACTCCTGAAAAAAAAATCGTCGAAAATCGTTGAATTTAAGATTTTCCGTCGCAAAATTTACCTTAAAAATTTACGTTGGAATAATAATAATACGAAAAAAACTGCGTGCGCCGTGGTCGATAAAAAATCGATTATCATGTAAATTTCTTCCATGCGTTCGACTTCGTGTATCTCTTTTTCACAAACGTTATCCGCTACGTACAACGATGATCGAACGTGACTCGTTTAAACTGATTCACTCGTTGCACTTCGAGATATTATAACTTGCAGCGCGTATTCCGTGATCTTTCTCCTCGTTGCGACGTTGAATCGAAGAATAAAGGCGTTTGTGGCGCGAAGTCGCGCTGCTTCATCCTTCGAGAAGTTCGTTTAAAAATGGATGGCGTTGCGAGAGGCATCGAATTATCGCTGTTTCGTTTGCCCTCTTTCGTCGATACGTGTAACGATACATCGTCCAATGAGGACACGCGAAAATTCTGTTACGCGTTCGAAAATTAATCGCAAGGAGGAACAATGCGTGTATATAAAAATAATACGAGTTTTAAAATTTAAATTGTATTCATTGATGAAAATTGAACTCATTTAGTCGAATAGATTGATATTCTTATTGGATTGAAACTGGCAACTCTACAAATAATACAGAGCAATGTAAAGGGAATGTAACATGTGCTCGAACACGCCAGTTATGCGTGTATATTTTCACTCGATATTTGTCTAATTCAAATTGCTTTTTCGCGTAAAATAACTACTATAAATCGATCGGTTGTTTAGATCATATAAAAAAAAAGAAAGAATTTGAAAATTTGAAACATTGAGGCAAATTAAATGGAATTAAATAAACATTCGAAAAAACAAATTCATCGATCAAAGATTTTATAAACAATCTTTGCCGAATTTTAAATCCTTATCTACAATTTTACGTATATAAATAATTTGTTATATGTAATAACAAATGATGCAAATGTTAACGTAATTCTATTATAATCTTCTTAATTCACTCTTCTTAAAATAATTCCAATAATTTAAATTTATCACAACGAAAAAATAAACGCATCAAATCAAGAATCCTATATTGGATCAATCTCAAAGTTTATTCCCCAATCTTTCACACACCATCCTCCTCATCATTTCCTTTTGATCTTTTCGAAAAGTTTGCGAGAGAGGACACGTCCACCTTGCGCCCATCGAACAAAATCTCCATTACAAATAAATCCCTCAAACGCATTTCAGAAAAGAAAAAAAAGAAGTGTACGATCGCGTGATTACCTTGAGCGGCAGCTCGACGACGGATGCTCTTATTCGCGCCGGAAACACGAGCACTTTGAGACCTGGTCGCCGGTCTGCGCCTCCTGGTCGGCGTACTTCCGTCGGGAGTACCGCTTCCACTGTCTTTCTCCCTGTCCACTTTATCCCTTTCCCTGGCGCCCGAGGGAGGCATCGCCTCCAACATTTGCTCCATGCTGGAGAATCCAGGGGCGCAGATCGAGGCAGACCTCGTCTTCCGGCGTAGAGAGTTATCCGACATCCTTCGCGCGATTCTTCCACGATTTCCTCTCGAAAACCCCTCCGACCGATCCTTCCAAGGAACGTTCGTAAAATCTTTCTTGAGCCTCTCTCTCTCTCTGTTTCTCTTCCTTTATCCTTCGTATAACAATGAACAATCTCTACAGTTCTTTTAAAAAAAAAAAAAACACAACGAACTCGCCTTCTCGCCTTGAAAATTTTTTTTATCGATCCACTTTCAATTCATAGTTTCTCTTCTTCTTCTTCTTTTTTTTTCCTTGTTCGAGGTGAGCACTTGGCGTAGCAGCACTTGGTTCACTTTTTCCTTCCTTTTGGAACGAGATTCGTCGATGAAAGAAAGAAATTAGCAGGAGGGACGATTTCCTTGGCGGGAATCCTCGAACGAGTTTTGATTATTCCTCGAGTAAGAATAAAGGGAGAGGAGGGGGGAGTTTCCGCCTCGATTCTTGCCCCCCCTCCCGAGATTCAGGCAGAGTTCGATTAAAAGTTTCGACACGATGAGAACGTGTTGAACGATTCGTGAAAAAGTCGCTTCGACTTTGGGAAAACTTGGGCGAAAGTTCGAACTCTGTGAAGAAGCAACATGTGGCGTGTTCCGCGCCGTGGTTGTTCGTTAATCGTGAATCGTGGCGACGCTCTCGTTTATTTAAGATTCGAACGAGATCTCGATTCTCTGTTCGGATTCAAAGGATCGTACGATGTATAATAAGAGATATAAAGTTTTTTTTTTAAATTTTATTCATTTAAAATATTCTTCCGAGAAATTTTTTTTGCAATTTTTTTTTTTTAATTTTTTTGCGAAAATTGGAATTTAACGTTCGAAGTATTGGAGATTTTGTATATTTCTGATAAACTTTTTTTTAATTCTGCAAAAAAATACGAGATATGGAAATATTTGTATGTCTCTCTTTCTCTCTCGATGCGATTTTTGAAAAAAGAGAATTGAGGATTGACGAAGGAATCGAAGCGAGAGAAAACTAATATTTTTGGAGGGATATGCAAGTTAAATTTGCGAAAGTACGATTACGATTTGAAGATGTACGTATTTGTCATTAGAGATTGATTGAGAAACGATAATTTAAATTTTGTTCTTTAATCTTCGAGAGAAACTAATATAAAATGATGATTTAAAATATTAATATCGAGTTATAAAATTGTTTTGTTGTCGAAAAAAATATCGTTTTTCAATCTTCATGATAATCTTCATGAAATTTTCGAAATAATGAATCATAAAATTTTTCGCGAGCAATTATCGCGCACCGATAATTGTCAAAAAATGCGAAATATGACTGTAAATTTTTCCATAAATTCGAATTTCGAATCGTTTCGAAATGATGCAATATCAACGATTATCCGTTCCAATTAGGAAACTTAGAAGTTTGAATTAAGAATTTCTTTCTTTTCGATAATTAATTTATTTAAGAATTATCAATACGAGATTTCTCTTGCTTACGATACCAGATTCATTGCGATTTAATCATTTCTTATTAGTAAAAACCAGGAAAAGTCGATTTCGATGAAGAAAAATTTTTTTAAGATATTCGTCTTCTCGAGATATCGCACACTCTGATAAACGCTGACAAAATCGTGGGAAAAAATTTCACCGCGACTCAAACTCAACAGGTATTTCAAAGAAAAATTCGTATCGATTTCAAATCAATGTCTTTCATATACATGTGAATTTCAATCCCTCAAGAAAGTCACTTTTTGTACTTGTAATCATTTATATAGAAATTTATGTACAATGAACATTTATTTATTTCCGCACGATTGCATTATTTATCAAATAAATGCGAAACGACACTTGCGAATGTTGAGAAAATATCAAACTTATATAAAATATTTTACGCACATTTTCCACGACAGATTTTTAATATTCACTGATATTCCTTATATACAAATTATACAATATTTTTTTCCTGTTAAAAAATTTTATACATATTAAAAAAAAAATTGGCAAACACTGGATCCCACTCTCACATTCGAAATATCGATTCGAATTTTCGTGCGAAATTCGCAAAATTCACGAGGAGCGAAAAACGCATCGAATGGAAAATAAATAAGAAATCGAGAGAAACGATCGAAAATTGCTTCTCGAAGAAGAAAAAGAAGACATAACCGAATTTCGAAAAGTTTAACAGATCGGTTAATCAATCGAATCATAATGAGAGTATGTATACATTGTACATTGTATTCTCTCCGCTTAACCGGAATTAAACGGACTTTATTACAGCTTATCCATGGACATTTTCAACAGCGTTCTACAAAAAGCCTTTATCAGGGAAAACTATGTATCGATCCTCCTCCTTTTTTTTCCTTTCTCCTATCCTTCCAGTCGCGGCGGGGGAAACGACACGTTTATCGAGCTTCAACCGCAACCGTTAAGTGGAAGAGATCAACCTTTGCGCGTGCACACTTTTTTGTTTTTAAGCTTCGATAACCAATTTCGCGAATTATCGCGAACCACGATTGCACACTTTGGTCTTCGACTTTATTCCTTAATTAATACTGAAATCGAAAGGTTCGTTAGGGAAAGGTTGTTCAATTTTTTTTTCCAAAATACGAACGAATAAAATCGAAGAAGAGTCGTATTTATTTCTTGAACTCGATCGAATCTTATCGTTTATCGTTAATCGAGCGATATGATCCTTACGATTGAAATTGGACAAAGGTTTTTCTGTCATCGTTCTATTTCAATCACGAATCGATGGAAAATTCTTTTAAATGTTCGAATCAATATCAATTTCGTTCAACGATAGATTTCCTGAATTTTTCGATTTCCTTGGCGGTAGAACTATTTCAAATTCACGGTATTGTGTAATTTAATTGGGAAAATGTTCAATCAAACGTGATAACGAAATCCGTATTCATTTTATAAGAGAAAGTTTATAATTCGATAAATTGGAGAAATTTATGACTGTTATATTCGATCCTCATTCGTTTTTGCAAACATCCTCGTTATACGTTTTATCGTGACGGAAATTCGATCGATCTCCCTTCTTCCTGGTTCCTCTTAATGGAAGAAAACAGTCATCTCGTTGCTTCTCGATATTTATCAAGGAATAAACCTTCTTCTCTCTATATCAATCTCATTATCACCATGATACGAGATTCCATTTTCCAAATCGTCACGATGCTCGATTTTGCATGTGACACGCGCGTAGTAAGCGGCAAAGTACTTTTCGCGTCGTCAAGTTTCGCACGCTCGAAATTTTAATAACTTGGACGCGTCGTGAAAATTTCATTACTTTTTCTATTATTTTTCACCGAAAAATTTACTCTTCTCGAATTTATTTTTTCCCTCCGAATGCCGATAGAGATTTTGTATCTCTGAATCAAGATTTTCAAGAGACTTAAGATCCCGAAGAGTTTTTATAATGCGCGAATCTCTGACTATGATTTCTCCTTGCATCTCGCAACATTGTATTCCACTTTGTTAAACTGTCAAAACATCGACGTGCATTCTTATATTTTTATCGAAAACTATAACCATCAAAAAAAAACCCATCGTAAAAATTCGTATCGTCTCGCTACCTGACAAAAATCCTTGGCGAAAGAAGAACAACCATAAGATAAAGAGACGAAAGCCTTTCGTCAATTTCTCTACCTCTCTCTCTCTCTCTCTCTCTTCAAAAATAAAGAGAAAAGAAATAACAAAGAATAAAAGTACAAAGAAATCTTTTTTTGATTTTGAAAAATCGAGATCCCTTTCGATTCGTCCGAGTTGCACAAGTTCCCTACAGAACGTACGATATTATGTTCGAGACACAGACTCGCGTTTACCACTTGCTACGTGATCGCTGCCAACGATTCACCCGTCATCTTTCAAATTCTTTCCCGTCACATGTCTCGATCGCGTAGCGATGAAGCGCGATACAAAAAGGAGGGGAATTGGACGGCGACGGCGACGGCACGCGGACGACGCACGTTCGACGACGTTACGCGGTACACTGATCCTCCTCCTCTCATCGGGCACCGACGTCGGGACGCCAGGCGTCGTGGAAGCTCGGCACGCCTCGTGGCGACGCTCGGCGAACCTCGTGTCCACGGCTTTGGCCGTCCTCCAAAAAATCCTGTCCTCACCCTCTCTTTTTCTTTTTCTTTCCCTTTCCTCTCCCCATCCAGGATGGATATGAACGGATTGTAATTTCTTTTTTCTCTTTTTTCTTTCCTCATTCGATTCGATTCGAAAAGATTCGAAATGTATTGTAAACATAAGATATAGGATGTATGATGCTTTTTTTTTGTAGAATTGGAAAAATGATGAAATTATTGAAGCGAGGTATTCCCGAGACACTTTTGATTAATTCAGAATGATGAAGATTTCAAAAAAAATATGAATCTATTGAGATATCAATTGTAATTTCTCGTTTAATTGATAAAAGTATCTTTCATCTTCGAAAAGATCTGATTTTCAATTTGTATATGTGTATTATTAAATATATTGTTTAAGAGTTCAAATGATATCAATTAAACAAATTTTTGTTGTTTATTAAATTCAAATACATTAAATAATCGTACAATTATTAAAATTTAATATTATAGAAATGAAACGTAAAGCCGTAGATAAAAGAACATTTTATATATAAAAATAAAAATATATAAAAAAATATATAAAAATAAATATATAAAAATGGAAAATAATTTCAAGCAATATTATTGAATCTTCAAAAAACTTTCTGGCAAAGTTAAACGTTAAAAACAAATAAAAATTCTTATTATTTTTCCAAGAAGTACTGAAATTTTACGAGGTCCTTCCATCCAACGAATACAAATATTTTAGCCACTGTACATGTATTTATTCCATTTCTGCTTCTCGACACGTGGCTCGTCGTTTCATAATAGATCGTAACAGGCGAAATTTGATACAAACTTGCGAGAAAAAAAGTAATGCTCGACGATTTGGAACGACATTAGCACGACCGATACCTTTGCTTCCCTCTCTCTTCCCCGTTTTACTGCATAAGTAAACTAAACTGATGTCTCGAGAAAAACGAGAAGAGAATTAGGGAGAATTGTCGAAGGAGGGAAAGAGAACAATTTTGTTGAGAACGATTCTCTGGAGAACGGTTTGTTTGTGAGATTGGTGTTTCGGACGATGGGAAGACGGGATTGTTTGATTTTCGGAAAAGGATGATTCGAAGCAAACGTTGGCTGTTTATGGTTTAACAGTTGGAAGTTGGATAGGAAGGACTTATTGGGGTAATTCGAGAGGGAGACAGAGATTCGAAGAGGAGTTTGAGTCTGTGTGCGAGTATAGGAAGATTGGTTTACGAAGATTTTAATTGAGTTTATAGACGCAGGAAGTTTGGCAGTTTAAGGATACTTGCCATATTCTAGGGAGAAATATATGGATGTGTACAGTAAGAAAAGTGATGATCCAGGGGAGGAACTATATTGATCGGTGTTTTTCAACGAAGTGTATCGATTATAGATACGTTTTAAATTTAATAATAAGGTTTCAAAGAATGCACTATATTTGATTAAATTTATTACTTGAAATGATAACTAGAAAAAAATATAAGTATAGATATGTATATAGGGAGAAAAGTGATGGAAATATTCTTAAAATTAGAAGTATGTTTTAAAATTAATAACAAGATTTCTGCAATGCTACGTTTACGGTAAAATGAAAATTTATATTTTTGAGACGATAAAACATTTCGGTTATAATTTATCGTTTATTTTTAAATTCGTAAAAATAACCGAGAAAATTAAATCATTAAAGATAAATGTGGGACGAGAAGATATTATTCTTGGCAGTGTACATCGTTTCTTTGGGAAAGTAACAAGCGATTCGTTAGGTG